GGCTCCCCGCTTATGCAAATGAAGCCCAGGAAATTCAAATCCCGGGCTTCATTTGCAAGTGCGGTATGCCTACATTACCCCGCTAGTTCGAACTAGGAGGGTAGTGTAGACATACCCTTAGAGTCTTTCCATGGAGCAAGCCATGTTAGTTCATTCATTAATTACTATCAGAGAGATCTTCAAAGGCACAAATAATAGTTAGATGCCTAATTTCCATTGACTCTGAATGATGAAGTATTCTTTTGAAAATCTCCTTGAATGCCTATAGAACCCTTCTGTTTTTTGCTATTCAAATGCCATGATTTCTATAATTTTCAAAATGTAAATAAAATATGTAACTTCACATGGAAATAAAATTCAAAATAGTTATATTTAAAGGGTAAAAAAACTTTTATTTAAATATGAAGAATTATACATAGAGTCCAAGAACAGAAAGGACCACAGGCCATGTTTTAGAATCTGTTAATGCATGACTAAAAATTACTCACTCACTTGGCACCTACTAAAAAGAAGTTACTCACCTTGTGCAGTAACAATAGCTCTTCGAGATGTGTGTCCCTGTGAGTGCTTCACTCAGGTGTCAGTGTGTCCTTGTGCTAGCGATCAGAGATTTTTAGCCTAGCAGTGCCTTTCCATGCTGCACAAGTGCAGTAGCCATCTCATGCTGTCTTCATCCCTTAGCTAGGCGCACAGCATGGGTCCACCTCTGTTCCTTTTCTACTGGAAATCCTATCATGGACTCCAAAGTAAAGGGGAGAAAGGAAGGGTAGTGGAGTACCCACAGGGACACACATCTCAAAGAACTATTGTTAGTGCACAAGGTAAGTAACTTCTTCTCCTTTGAGTGGTGGTCCTGTAGGTGCTTCACTCAGGTGGCTAAAAAGCAGTACCCACGGTGAGGAGGTGGGTATTTGGAGTCATCTACTGGAAGAGGCAAGGATGGCATCGCCCACAGAGGCAGTAGGTAATGGTCCTTGCTGTAACGTGTAGTGTTGTGCAAAGGTATGTGAGGAAGACCGTGTAGCTGCTCTGCAAATGTTGACCAGAGGGACATTATGCAGAAAGGCAGCCGACATGGTCATCTCTCAGGTGGAATGTTCGGTGACTGTCTGCAGTGAAACTTTATTTTGGAGCCTGTAGCAGGTATTTCTGCAATTTGATATCCACCTGGATATGCATTGTGCGGAAATGGCTGCTCCCTTGCCGGGATGGATGTAGATATAAAAAGTCTATTAGATTTTCTAAAAGGTTTAGTTCCATCTATGTAAAAAGCGAGTGTCCTTCTTGCATTAAGGGTACATAATATCATTTCTCTTGAGCAGTCATGTGGGTTAGGGTAATAAGTGGATAGGAAAATGGGTTCATTAACGTGGAAATCAGAAATGACTTTTGGTAAAAATTTAGAACGGAGTCTGAGACTAATCTTATCACTGGTGAAAAGCAAACAGGTGGAAGCACCAGGAGGGTTGTGATTTCACCTATGCGTCACATGGATGTGATTACGACAAGAAAAGACACTTTCATGGCCATGTGCTGCATTGAGGCCATCACTAATGTCTCAAAGAGTGGTCCTGTCTGTGAGTCCAGCACGAGATTGAGATTCCATGGTGGAACAAGTGGGTGTACATGTGGACGTGCTTTGGATAGACCAGTTAAGAACTGTATGGTAATCGGATGAGCAAACACCAAGACATTATTTACCAGTTCGTGAAAGATCGTGATGGCTGAGAGATGAACTCTTATGAAACTGATGGAGAGTCCTGCGTCGCAGAGGTCTATTAAGTATTCCAGCACGATACATATTCGGGCAATATGTGCTTACAGATGGTGCTGATTGCACCATTTCTGAAACCACTTTCATTTGTTTTGATAGGTGTACCTCATAGAAGGATGATGACTGCAGAGGACGATCTGTTTTACTCTGAGAGCAAGTTTGTCATTCTGAAACCATGAAGAAACTAGGTGGAGAGCTTCAGAGCCTGAGGATTTGGGTGACACATTCATCCATTGTATTGGGTTAGGTACTGAGGACTGACTGGAAAGGGAATGGGATTGGCAATCGATCGTGTAGTGTTGTGCAAAGGTATGTGAGGAAGACCGTGTAGCTGCTCTGCAAATGTTGACCAGAGGGACATTATGCAGAAAGGCAGCCGACATGGTCATCTCTCAGGTGGAATGTTCGGTGACTGTCTGCAGTGAAACTTTATTTTGGAGCCTGTAGCAGGTATTTCTGCAATTTGATATCCACCTGGATATGCATTGTGCGGAAATGGCTGCTCCCTTGCCGGGATGGATGTAGATATAAAAAGTCTATTAGATTTTCTAAAAGGTTTAGTTCCATCTATGTAAAAAGCGAGTGTCCTTCTTGCATTAAGGGTACATAATATCATTTCTCTTGAGCAGTCATGTGGGTTAGGGTAATAAGTGGATAGGAAAATGGGTTCATTAACGTGGAAATCAGAAATGACTTTTGGTAAAAATTTAGAACGGAGTCTGAGACTAATCTTATCACTGGTGAAAAGCAAACAGGTGGAAGCACCAGGAGGGTTGTGATTTCACCTATGCGTCACATGGATGTGATTACGACAAGAAAAGACACTTTCATGGCCATGTGCTGCATTGAGGCCATCACTAATGTCTCAAAGAGTGGTCCTGTCTGTGAGTCCAGCACGAGATTGAGATTCCATGGTGGAACAAGTGGGTGTACATGTGGACGTGCTTTGGATAGACCAGTTAAGAACTGTATGGTAATCGGATGAGCAAACACCAAGACATTATTTACCAGTTCGTGAAAGATCGTGATGGCTGAGAGATGAACTCTTATGAAACTGATGGAGAGTCCTGCGTCGCAGAGGTCTATTAAGTATTCCAGCACGATACATATTCGGGCAATATGTGCTTACAGATGGTGCTGATTGCACCATTTCTGAAACCACTTTCATTTGTTTTGATAGGTGTACCTCATAGAAGGATGATGACTGCAGAGGACGATCTGTTTTACTCTGAGAGCAAGTTTGTCATTCTGAAACCATGAAGAAACTAGGTGGAGAGCTTCAGAGCCTGAGGATTTGGGTGACACATTCATCCATTGTATTGGGTTAGGTACTGAGGACTGACTGGAAAGGGAATGGGATTGGCAATCGATAGGTAATGGAGGTAAGGAAACCAATCCTGTCTCGGCTGGTATGGAGCTATCAGCATGACCTTCACTTGGTCTGCTCAGATCTTGTGGATTACCCTGGAAACCAGGGGAATTGGGGGGAATGCGTATGACAGAGGGCCCATCCATGGTATGGTGAAAGAGTCTCCCACCGAGTGCTTGCCCTGGCCTGCTCTCAAACAGAAGTGGTGACATTTGTGG